ACACTTTTCAGATTTTTGTTTGTAAAAAATCTTGAACACCATGTATCATTTTCCTTCCACTTCACAATTATGCGATACTTTCTGTTGGTCTATCACATAAAATCCCAATAAAATACATTTAAGTTTGTGGTTGTAATGTGACAAAATATGGAAAAATTCAAGGGGTATGAATACTTTTGCAAGGCACTGTATATATAGTCACATAATGTAGCTGTTGTGAGTCTGCTGATGTTGAACTTGCACTGAACTTTGTTATCTAAAGAAATAAAAGTGATTGTGTTGTCTGTGGCACAGAACAAAGATTGATTGTGAAGTGTCCTATCAAGGCCTATTACAACATGCTGAAGCTGCATCACATCTTTGATGTTATTTAGTCTCCTCAAAAAGAGATTCTTGTTCAAAATATGCTTTATCAAAGACTGACTGGAAGTTTTTTTATGGTTCATGATTTCTTAAGAATTTTAATGAGTACTATTTGAAACAGTGGAATTATACCAAGAGGTATGAGTTTCTTTTTCTACCAGCAGGGAGAAGCAGTGACTGTGATTGAGCCAGGCTTTGTAGGCAAGCATCACATTAATATCAACTCATTCTTTGGTTCAATTTGTTCGCATGTCACAAGGGAGTGCAGATATTTTTCAGCAGGCATTCAACAGATACATATTGGAAAGGGAAATTTCTCAAGAGTGGAAATTTTGTATTTTTCTTTTTGTCTCATTTGATAATAACTGAATTCATTTTGTAGATGGACTACAATAATAGATGTGTCAAAGCAAAATCAAAAGAAATCATCTAGTGGGGGAGCTACTTTACCTGAAGGACACAGTATGTCTACTTCCCAGTCCCAGGAGAGTCTGCCTGCTGTGTCTATGTATGTGTGTGTGTTATTTATGTTTCCCTGGGTCTGTGAGTCACTCCCAAAGCCATTTTCCCATACTTTCACATTTTGTTACTTTGTCCCACTTTTACATGTTTAAGTGTCTGCCTGTTTGTACAGATGAATGCAATTATTCCCAATCTAAACTAAAATTTGTTAACTCAAACTCCTTGAACATTCAGTTTAATGAACCGGACAGATTATGGATGTTAGTGTTGGTGGTGTGTGGATTTTGCTACCGTCAGACAGAGCTAAGCTAACTGTATCTCCATGGAACTAGTCTTTGTGCTAAGCTAAGTCCCCACAATTCAGCACTAAGTAGTTCTTAGTCTTTTCATATTTTTAGCAACTATTTTTTAACTTTGATAATATGTTTGGAATCAAATCACTGATTTTGTTTTACCCCAACTTTGAATGCTAGATATTTCACGCTCTTTGAAATGTAAAGGAAATGTCCATTTGTTTGAACAATCTAGTCGTCATAGCCAGTGTCAAAATCACGTCTTAGTGAGCCAACCTCTGATGGCTGAGCCAACCTAATTAAGACCAATAGGCCAAGGGGACACCCTTCAAGTCATTACTTTCCGGTTTTAGAAATAATAATTAGTGGGCCTGTTGTGTCTGAAAACCTCCTCTTTCCTTTTCCCTTGCCTGCCATCTTCCTCTTTCTTATTTTTGAGCTTCCTTTAATGCCGTCTTCTTTAATAACACTCTCATCTCCCATTCCTCCATGTTTTCCCCCAGTGGTTTGCTTTGATGCTAAGATCAACTTTGACGACAACGCAGAGTTCCGTCAGAAGGCTGTGTTTGCCATGAATGACATGACTGAAAGCGACCCCACAGAGTTGGAGGCAGCCAAGTGGGACCTCAAATATATTGGAATGGACGGAAACATCGCCTGCTTTGGTACAGAAACAAAACCCTGTAACAGAACAGGCTCATTCCTTCACACAGACAAACACACACACACCAACACACCCCAACGAGTTCTCCCATAAGCAAACCCCCATGGCATAAGGCTTTAATGTGTCTCTTAAGTCACATAAGTGAAAAGCTCGGACACAGTTAAAACTTAGTCAAAGTAAAGGCAGCCTGGGCTCTCCTCCAATCCACATTACAAGCAGCTTTCTGAGGACTCCAGAAGGAATGCTGCTGTAACCAATGCGTTCTAATTAGCTATAATCCGCCCAGAAAGTCTCCAGTGAGCCAGATTGTTAGCATCCTCATTAAAGGCCCACTCTCTTGTCATAAATCAAAGCTTTTACAGTGTACAGCCGCACTAACAGGTGCTCTTGCTTCTTACCCCGTAGTCCCATAAACACATTAGATGTCTGTTAGCACTACCCCCCTCACACACACCCCATTCTGCATCCCCAGCTCCCAGGCTCTCTTAAAGTAACAACAGCTTTTAAGGCCCTGCAGCTTCCTTGAGAGCTCTGTAAGCCAACAAAATGACAATTGTTAAAGCGAATTTTCCTTTTATTGAGACCTCGGTCAGGGAGCTCGCTAAGATGGAAGTTCAGCTCAGTTAAACCAAATGAGGTAAGACATTCTTGTGCACTTGGCTCCCACACAGCACAGCAGGGTAGCTGCGCTGGCAGTTGGCTAAATGATGACACAGGCCGCAAAAAAGTGTAGCAGAATCTTTTTTTATCAACACTGTCTTCTTTGAAGGCAAGAGTTCAGTCATAATGAAATTTTCAATTTTCCTCATTAGAAGATTTCCAGCTGATTTTTTTATGTGAGGCGTTTATTTTCACATATTTGCTCTGGTTGATAATTTACTGCTAGATTCCTTTGTGGGTATGCTCACTGTAGTCATCTTTCCTACAGTGTTGCCAGTGTCATTTTAATTAGCTCATGGTTGTTACCTCTCAGGGAAATTTGTTTCAATTTCTGGACTTTAGCCTGGACCTAATGGTCAGATTTAGCTTCATTATACTTAATAATTATGTTTAAGACATTATGCCTTAGGTCATTAATGGGCTATAGTATCATTAACACTCACTCAACACCACCAGTCTCTCTCAGGGAAAACAACAACAATCAGTTTGGCAGAATATTAAGTATTTGCTCAGACTGTTGTAGACAGGTGTTGTTTCAGCTGTATGGTCACTTTGAAATATTTTGCCCACCTATTTATATCAGTGAGTCCAGGCTAAATAACAGAAACGCCTTTCTGCATAATGCATTAGTTTAACAGCAGCACAAATTACAGTCTCCATCATGACCATAGAGTGGAATCAACACCTTGATGGAGGAGTTTTCCTCTGTATTGCAGAATACATTTTTGCATATTAATTGAACTGAAACTGATTTTTTTTTACAGTGAATGGAGCCGGTTTGGCCATGGCCACCTGTGACATTATTGATCTGTATGGTGGAAAGCCAGCTAACTTCCTGGACCTGGGTGGAGGAGTCAAAGAGCGACAAGTGTATGAGGCTTTTAAGCTGCTCACTGCTGACCCTAAGGTAGGAACAAACTGTTAAAAAAGCTTGTTTTCTTTACCAAACTGAATAATCAAGCCCAATTGGTTTCTTATTTTAAAGCACATCCTCAAAGATGTGCACCACCTGATGAATTGTCTTTGATATTGCAGTCTTGTATCTTGTCATAACACATTCATAAGGGCCTGTCTCTCTGGTTAGCACTTTGTCACCGAGACAACAGTGCTCATTAGGCCAGGGACCTTGGCATATGTCCATGTTTCACTGAGGGAAACAGACTCTGGAAGGCTGTGTGATGATTTGCCATCATTTTTCACTTGCAGCTGCATGGTCACTGCTGTGTATGCTGCAATAAAGCTTGGCCTTTAAAAACTCATTGTCACATGTGCACCCACACACGCATAGTAGCTCACAACACTAATATACAACACAAACTGAATAAACAAATGTAAATCAAAGCATGCTTCTCAAAGTCTTGTAGCTCTAGATGAGTGGCAGATTGGGGTGTTTTATAAGTGATTCAGCTCAATGTTCAGAAAGCTAATAACTCCAAACTAAACAGTGTGAGCCTTGTAATGATACCACAGTGCTGACTGTGTGTTGACAGTCATCATACCACTAATTCCCCTGCTGCTGTCACTCCTACATTTCTCTGTGCTAGTTTCTCTGGCAAGGGGTGGTTTCATTGAATACAGAGTAGCATTAGAGGCCAGTTCATGCTTCTGCCCAATTTTCTTAAATCTTTATTTATCAATGCGATTTGACTTGGTAGGAAAAAAAAAAGTGTTTCACACTAATTTTAAATTACCTGGGAGTTGCCAGATTCAACCTCGCCTTTCCTCTACAGGTTCTAGAAATGATAGAGGGTTGACTGCAGGACCACTGCAAATAATATATCTCAGCAGAAATATTTTGAGGAACAAGGCACTTACAGCATTTTCCCTAACTTTACATCTGTTTTCTAACCTTCAAGAAACATTGGTGAGCATGTCAATATGATTGTGATAAATAGTCTGCCTTTAAAATAGATATTCTGTCTAGTATTCATTTAGTTAAAGGATATTGTTGCAAAATAATGTTAATCAATCTTTTTTTCTCAAGATAAAAATGAGATATAACTGGTGAAATCAAAACAATAACTGACTTAATTTCCATGCAACTGATTAAAATTCACTTTAATAAAAACTTCTTTATATTTGTGTTGACAAAAAAGAGAGACAGCACTGATGAGGAGACGAATGTATCGCATTGTCCTTCATTCACTGGATGTCTGTGCTGCACATTTGTTTTGACATCAGATCAGAAGCCTTCATTGCAAAGCTGCATCCTTAAACATACCATGTGTCAGTTTATGACTTGTTTTCATTTAAGTGTAGCAGTGTAAAGATAAATGCAAATGAGTTAGAGATATGGCTGCATCAGCTCTAAAGTCTATATGAATATCACCCACCTTGGTCCACCCTGGTGTGTGCTTCCTGTATGGATGTGTGTGTGTGTAGCCTGGAGGCTCGTCCTCATTATGTTAATGATGCCGTGTATAGTTGAAGCAAGGGTCGGTTTTGGTTAAGGTTAGGGTCAGGACTAAATATGACTAAAAATAACATGAATGTATGATGTCAGTGGTAAGAGTAAATCTAAAAAGCTGACAGAATTGACACTGATTCTTACACTACAAAACTCAGTTTGATTCACAGCAAATGTTTTGACTCAGTGTTGGGGCTAAGGCCTGGAACGTCTGAGACGAGACCAGTGTTGCACATCTTTTTATAGATGAATGCTAAAACCCCAGCAGGTGATACATTCATATTTCCATAGTGTGTAGATTTGGTTCGGTCTTGCATGAATTCAACCCAGTGGCTTGTGGGGGAGAATAACAATAAATATGGTGGATTAAAAGGAAATGTGATCAATATAGAAGAGAGAAAACTACAAAGACTTGTCCCTTTCTCCTGGTATGGGGTCATCATTTATTATTATTGAACAGTTTTAAAAGGTGGCATACTGCAGAAGCAAAATCAAGTTGTAAAGTCCTCTCCACAAAACAGTCCCGCTTGGACAGGAGGATCCTCCCCCACCCTCTTCTTGTTCCTCCTCTCCTCTTTCGGTCTTGGGCTGGTTCCTCAGATCCAGATGGGAGAGTAAGCCTGCTGCCTATCCCTCCTGCTGCTGTGTATGGAAATAGAGACAGAGAGCTCCTCCCTAACAGGGAAAAAAGTAGAATAGGGCTGACATTAAACTGGGTTGGAAGCACCATTAGCATTTCAGCCAGTGGAGCTGAGAAACCTGCTCTGATCTGTGGAGGAAATGTTAATTATTTTACAATAAGAATGAGAGAGAGAGCTGCTCATTTGCATTTAGTTTCTTTTTCTCCCCTAAATCATCACTCCAAAACTCAAAAAGACAAGAAGAAACTGAAATTAAAATCACGCCCTAGGCCACATAAAGGCAAAAATGATTGACTTTATGTACCAGTAAGTTATTGTGGGAGCAACATTATCCTAATTTGGCTTACATATCAAAGCAATCAGTGGTTATAGCCAGTTCCAAAACAAAAAGAAATTCTCTTCTTATAACTAAAAGTCTTGACAGTATGCGTTATGAGGATGCTAGCTTTCACTAATATTGCATAAAATAAACTAAATTGCTGCTGCAGGCAAGGCCATTATTGTTGTGCTGCATACATGAATATGTGTTTTTATTAGAGATCACTGTGACTTTTGACTGGGAAGCTTAAAATGGTTGATGCAATGTGAAAAAGACAATAGGGCATTCAGTGGCCAGACAGGCCACAGTAGGACACATCCAGCTATAACAACCCCACACGTTTCCACATGTTTTTGGTGTATGTTTTTTATTTCAGTCTCTCTCCCTCCCAGCCTCTGCTTTGATGTCTCAGACCTACTGCGCTGAGACAAGTGGAAGTGATGTGACTGTACTGCTGGCAGTAACTAGCAGAGACGGACCCTGAGATGATAAAGCCTCCTTTTTCTTGTTTGCTCACTTCTTCACTATCTGCCTATAAGGCATTCATTACTTATAATGAATTACATTATCTATTATTCTCTGAAAGAAAAGAGAAGTGAAAACAAGCAAAGTGGGAACAACATATGAAATATGAAATAAAAAAGTCAAACTGGAGGGGGGTGGAGTGAATCATAGTGTGTAGCCCAGTATGTGAGAATGAAATATGTGAGATGATATGTAGCTCAGCTGGATGCACTGGACCATTCAGCTTGGTTGAATTTAGGCCTCCAGCTTTTTAAGCAAGGACATATTTATTTCCCATGCTAAAATAAATAGCTCCACTTTCTTCACATCCACGTATAAAACAGTTTGTTGACAGAATGGCTGAATTTATTGAGGTTTCCCTCACATCACCTGTAGGCAAGGAGCAGACAGCAAATACCAGCAGCCAAATAACCTCGTTATTGCCTTGTGCCTCTGCCGTAAAGAACGTGGCAGATGGATGTTTTGTCCAACTCGACATCCATTTTGTTCTCAAAGCTCAAGGCTGTTTTCTATAATTTTTTTATGGGCTAGAGTAAATGGTGATGTTTTTCTAAAACACACACTTACTGTCACTACTATATCAAACAGTTATCGCTGCAGAAAATGACAACATAATTAAGAGTTCAAATTTAAATCGGTATTGTTTATGATGCTTTAAACTTTAATTGTGTATACATATGCTTGGTGCAAATAATGTGTGTACTTGTTTTTTTTTTCCCGAGGATAGTGCAGTGTGTGATACCTTCACACCGACTTTAGGCCTCTGAACTACTCCAACAAACTTAAGAGTATTACAGAAATCTTCCAAATATCCAGAAAAGGAATAGCCACATATACTGTACTAGTCGGCTTTTAAATGTACTCAGGAGGCTGTGTACTTTGTGAATGCACATGTAAACATCCACACTGGCTCCTGTGTGCATGTGAGAAGTGTGAATCTTTGGTCTTCAACAAACAAGCAGCTGAACATAATATGACCTAAAGTAATAGTGCTTCAGCAGGGTGGTGACTGTACTGTATACAGTAGATGAACTGTGAAGGTATACATCCCCTGGCTGTCAGGAATTTGTTTCTGTTTGTCATCAGTGACAACTCCATTTTACAAAACATGCCGTAAAAAAAAAAAAAATGTTAATGAAGCCACATAATAAAGCAGTAACGCACTCAATCTACACTGACACATAAAATGTACTGTATGTTTCCGTGTTGAAGAGCGAGTGTGTCTGGGTTGCTACTGGTAGACCTGTTGTATGCTGCTGTGTTGTTTAAGGCGAGGCGGGTTCTGTTCTGAGGTGAAAGATGCATGGGCTCGCAGTGACTCACGTCTGGTAATGACGCATCTTCAAGCCCCCACTGGCATGCGTGCGTGTGTGCAAGTTCAGTTTGGAATGTTAACACTTAATTTTTGTTTTTCCTTCTAATTTCTCCCTATGTTTTCACCTCATTCTTTCACTGTTTGTATGGGGTTATTGTGCATTTCTCCTATTGCCCTCAAACAAAACTATATACTGTGCTGCTTCTTTCCAGGTCAGTGACTCTGCCTTATCTCACCTGTGCTCCCTGCTTTAACCACTTTCCTCCTTGTTGCAGTGACACTGCTAAGCCCCGCCTGTTCCAAGTTCCATCTCCCCTTCTATAGGGAACACGCCAACAAACATTTCCAGCACGTCCTCCTGTTTTCTCTGGAAAAAGTCTTTATTGGTATTATTCATGCATGGACAGTTATAGTAGCACCACAGTCTGTCATCTCAGTCTTTCCTCTCATGGTTCCTTCATCTCCCTCTGCTTGTCCTTGTTCTTCTCTGCAGCTCTCTACTTCTGTGTATCTCTCTTTTCCTCCCCGTCGCCTTTCATCTAGCTAAATCCTGTTAAAGTCAATGTGAGGAGCTCCCCTCAGTTTTATGCCTACTAGCTAAATCCTGCAGGAGCCCAGGCATCGCCTCTCTCATCCCCATATGGAGATGTTTGATCCTATGCCTAAAGTGCTTCAGCATGTATGGAGTCACAGAAGGCCA